TTCTGAAGTTGTTTTAAGTGTTTCAATTAACTATTATCAATAATATATTTTTTATGTTTTATCATTAATTAATTACATACACGTTATTTGGACGATAAATATTTTTTTACTGTTTAAAACACACAACAGTTTTGAATAACATATGGTTGTCTACCAAAAGTCAAGATAGTGCGAGCTCCTCCTTGAGTTTGTTTTAACAATGTCAGTGCACTGGTTAAGAAAAGTCTATATCCGAGACTGTTTTGTAACTAAAAAATACCTTACAAAAATAACCGACAAATTCAAAGTAAAGGCATGTGTCTCCCCTGTCCTAATTACCGTGGAAACAGATAAGTCGACAATCATCGCTCCTATTATTCTTAAAAAAAGATAAAAAGAATCAAGTACAAACAATACTTGCTTCTTGTAAACATGCCGCCATTGTTTTTGTTCTAGTCATTGTCCCGACAGCGTGGCCTTTTTACATTTTTAAAGACGCAAATAATAACATTAGTTCGTCGCAAAAGGCGATTGCAAAAAACCTTCGGTACAAACGAAACTTTCTCTTGCATTTTTACCATTATATTATTCGCTATGGTACCCGTTACTTTATTGTAAACAAATTCTAAATTGTCTACTACTGTTATGTTGAGAAAACAGGATGTCAAAAGTGAAATTCTGTTTCCTTTATTTGTTATATCTATAGGACATTTAAATTCTTTGATACGTTTCACAGATATGTAATTAAATGGGTAACTATAATGAAATATATAAATATAAACAATGCAAACAATTGATTAAATATTGGAGACTTCAAAGTCTTGTCCCAATTAAAAGGACTGATTAAAGGTTTCCCTGGAGTATTAGAAGGTAAGTAGGTGTGCCATATAACAAGAAGATAGTCTTAAGTCAGACTCGCTCTATTGGTCGAAAGCATTGCAACCGGCAATAGTTCTATGAATATCCATAAATGCCGTGTTTAGCGAAAGAATATATTACTATGTAAATTTTTTGTCGCGTAATTAAAAAATGTAACAATTTTATACTCCGTAATATGGCAACCAAAGGGGTAACTTATCAATTATTTTAAATTTTGAACTGGCTTGCGCATACAAAGCAAAATAGATAGTTTGTTAAGCATAAAATGCTTTGGCCAGGACGAAACATTGATGAACTTATGACACGTTCGTTTATGAATGCCGAAAAAGGAATGAAAGAGCTGCCAGCTTACTAAACTATGAACTCTAATAATAATAGGTACCTTATAGTAAAATGGCCCAATATAATAAAAAACACTGTAAATGAGTATGTCATTAAAAAAATATATATTTCATGTTTTCAGTACATGGTTTCGCACGAAAATAAGACATTTCAAATTACAATGAAAAACTTCAATCCTACGTTGAAACGCAGTGTTTCACTATCATATAATAGATAACTAGTCAATAATAACTTTCGAAAAATTCGCAGATACAGGTAAGAAATAGATATTAAAGGCGGCAAGATCACAACTAAAGATCCTTGACTGGCCTCTTGTTTTACAGGCATAATAAAATCCGATAACAATGTTTGTTCATTGAACTGCGCCGCCTTCTGTTCTACTATCTGTGTATTTGTACGGCAATAAAAGTAAAGCTACTACGCAGGCATATTTTAACAATTTTATCTCAATCCCTGGAACATCAAAAAACACCGGGACAGATGTGTTTTTCTTCTGGTCGCTGAAAAAAAAACTCCAAAGTAAATATCGTAAAGGTTGAACCGAATACAATATTCTGAATAAGCCATCGATTGATTTCGCAAGATTAATGGTTGCATATTGTCACTACCACGGTATGACTAGGTTTGCGTTGCCGAAAGCAATTTTATTTTCAGCCCTATAGGAGCGAACAAATTCATTTCTGGAATCCTTTTTACAGCTACAATGTACAACTTACATCGCTCAATTTAAGAACCTATTCCACAGTTATAAAGTTTTAAATCGTGTGATAAACATAATTGTACTTATTACGTTTTTGAATGAATGATTGGTCTCAATAGATTGATCCCGGAATCCGGTGTGAAATTGAAATAAAACTAAATGATTTTTGGTTCGCGGTCGAGCGGTTTGGTTCCAAGCATTATTTAATGTTTGGTTTTTTAATGCCGTTTTAATTTTATTTGCTTATTTTAATGTTATGATCGGTCATATTTGCCAATCGATTAGTTAAAAAATATTGCTTCTATAACAGAGGGTTAAAAGTATAACTTTGTAAATATATTGTCATAATGATTTTAATATTGTTTAACTTTAAAAATAAACTATTTTATGCGATAACAGCTAAAGTTTTAATCGAAATATTTTTTTATTATTTTATACTTCATTATCTGAGTGTCCAAGGCCAAAATAAGTCGACAGTGCCTCTTATGTAGACATAATCTATATTATAATCCTTTCATCAAGTGATAACATGCGTGCAATATATATTGTCTGTAGTGTACGCGAGTAGTACACATTTAAATAAAACACCATAACGGTTAAACGCGGTCTCCCCGTGACCACGGCTACTGCAAAGCATCCGAAACGTAGTAAAAAATAATTTTCAAATAGGTTTAACTAATATATATAGTGTTTTATTTAACGTGTTTAATCCTCTCTAATTGAAATAAAATAATAAAACTAAAATTTTTACTCCAGTTAAATTTATTAACATGTTTCATTTAAAAACATAATGAATAATTTATACCTATATTAGACATCTCATTGGTACATACGTGATTTATCTACACATACAATGAACGTCGGTGGGTGTGTGTACAATAGGAACAGATGTGACGGGAGGTGTTACAGAGAATGCATATGTCGCTTAGTGCGTACCTACACCGCTTACTATTGGGCTCCCAATAGTGCTTACGTGTAATGAGTAGGCACAATTTAGTAAAACGTAGGTATACCCATGTATTTACTCTAAGCTGACGTGAAAAACGTTATAGAAAAAATCGTGTTTAATAAACAACTAACCTTGTCCACATTAATCAAAAAGTAAAAAATATATTTCGAAGTAATTAATTCTAAAGAACAGAATATTTTATTCAAATAACTTTTAACGGTTTTAAACCTTTGTAACTACGGCCCGACGTTTCCGTTGCTTGAACTTGAACTTAAACGATGTACCTTCTTTGTAACCACGGCAGTCGGACTGCTGTGGTAAGTACGCATATTTTTACCTAAATAAATGACTATTAACTGTTTAAACACTATTTAAACTACGGGTCGACGTTTCGGATGGGTAGTTAGGTAGTAGGTACTCGTGTATAAACACAATACGATTTATTTTATCATTACAAAAAAAATGTATTAGAGGGCCATTATTACTATTCCGATATCCTATTAATACTTTCAACTTGAAATTTCGAAAGGGTGTATGACTGAAGGTATAGGTTACCTATGTATAGTTCTAGTAGACGGATGTATTAAAGAAAATTTCGCAATAGTATGGTATATGAAATGTAAAAAAAATATACTTAATTCTCTGTAAAATTATAAAAATTATTTAGATTCGTCAAAAAAAAATGTTTGTCTGTCCGTTCGTCGTGATTCTACAGAGTATTCAAAAGAGCAACATAACCGAGAAGAAGAACCTAGAAACTTAGTCTGGCTTTTTTCAACATGTCTTACAAACTAAAATATACAATGTACATATTTCTAAATAATTATTTATTTTGAAATACACATCGTGAGTCAAAACCTATACCTTAAGTGAATTGTATTAATATTCTTTTAGTAATAATTTTTACAAGATAATATATTGAATATTATTAACCTAGGATCTGTTTACGTTAAGTTATCTATATTAACAAAATTAAGAGTTCTCGGGTTAAAAGTTGTTTGATATTTATTTAACGCTATAATTAATTGCATTCCCGATGCAGTCTGCGTCGCACGCGCAGCGCATACTGTGCTATTGTCGCGGCCCCCGATTGAACTGTTGGACATGAGTTATGTGCTGAGTTATATAGGGTGTTTAACAAACATGATGCAAACATAGTATCTGTTAAACAATGTTAAATATCTATTGTTTTTCTTATATCTTATTGATAGCTAATGGAAAATATTGTATGCTGATTGTTACTATTAAAGAGCTACTTACAAAAATTCGTAAATTTAAATATATTTGAAAACTTTAATATTTTTCACGCGCATGAAGGCACTATATAATTCAAAAATGAAAATAAATTTAAAAAAAATTCGACTGGGGAAGGACTTGAACCGGCATCGTCTGTGTTCCTTGATGTTGCTCTACCAATTGAGCTACCGAGTCCTACACCTCATAGTCATTTTTTTTAACCTATTGTTACATGCGCCTCTCGCGCAATAAATTAGAAAGCTTAGAAATATATTTTAGTTTAGTAAATTATGTACTTAATGTACAAAAAGACACTCTTTTAAACAAAAATAATTTACTTCGTTAAATTACAATTGTATTTCGTCATTGTCTCAACTTATCCATTCGTACTTTCTAATCACGCAAAATTAATCCACCCTGTCTATTGCAAACACGAATACAGCACAGTGACACACATACGCGGCTTTTCTCTAAACCAATAATAGAATAAAATCAATCTATACCACCCTCTCACACGCATACTACCAAATCCCAATCAATGATTTACTTGTATCGATACACGCACACCGACGTATCGGAAATATTGGCATTGTAAACATTTATAGAATATTTGCGAACGTTTCCCCCTAAAATTCTTATTGTTTCTATCTCTCTCTAACGCACTATATCAAGCCTGTTAGATAAGAAACGAAAGGGACACAACATCTGGTTTTACAACTCTGCGGAGGGACAATGGTAATGCTATTGTTAAGTTCCCCAAACTTTTTTTAGGTCACATAAAAGTATTACAGTTGTTAGGGTCGTGTCTGATGCACTTATTGCATTCGTTTCGCAGTCAACCTAGTGGACAGTGCACCTACGCTAGTCTAAGGAAATTTGTACAGTGATAGTGTTCATGTCGTAGAATCTACCGAAATGTCATCGGCCGCAACAACTAATCGCGCTAATGATATGTGGAACAGTGAAGTGAATACACAAAGTGCAAAACCAACATACAATTACGGTCATCAATATGAATCTCCTGACTTCTACAATTACCAAAACACATACCCGGCCGAGTACAACGGACAGAACGTGAGTAAATACTCGCAAAATATTCAGAACTGTGTAAAATCAGAACCGATTAATTGGCAGAATTACTCGATGAACTATGCAAATGGTAACAGCCACGCGAATATGGAAATGATAAACAAGTGGCGGGAAATGAGTTACTATTCTCAACAGTACGAGAACTACGACTATCACCGTAATAGTGGAATAGTAAATAACACCGGCTTAGAAGCGAGGATAGATAATGGACGCTCAGTTAATTCACCGAGTCAATGCAGTTTGCCTGATACGAGCTACGGATCCCCTCATAGCGTTTCGAGTGCAATTAAATCGGAAGACGACGACTCGCCAAACTTGAGGGCTTTGCTTACAAAATCTAGCACAAACAATACCTATCTAAAGAAATACAGTGATTCATACAGTCAAGAAGCTATACAAAAAATGATGTATCATTCTTCTGATGCGGAGAAATGGGAAAAAGAAGGTAACCTTGAAAAAGATCACAATTTGCCGCAATTTCACGCTGAATACAAAAACAATGTTGATGAACCTAAAATCGGAAAAGAAGTAGGAAGGGCGATCGTCGACGGCAAAGGTGTAAAGTCATCGGCGAATACCGTAGAAAACTGTCAGGAGATGACGAGGGTCGACGCAGGCAACAATGAGGATTATGCTGAGAACAAAATGGCGGCGGTGCCCGAAGCGCAGGGATATTATCCGTGGATGAAGAGCAGTGGCGGTATGTATTTTGTAATTAAATATGTAACTTATTTAATATAAATAGATCTCCAGTTGAATGTTTTTATATAATTAGATTTTTTTTCAGCCGACGATAAAAGGGAAGGCTCCAAGAGAACAAGACAAACGTACACCAGATTCCAAACGCTAGAATTGGAAAAGGAGTTCCATTTCAACAAATACCTATCCAGGCGTCGTAGAATAGAAGTATCCCACGCCCTTGGTCTTACTGAAAGGCAGATAAAGATCTGGTTCCAAAACCGCAGGATGAAGGCGAAAAAAAGATGGGAAGCTCACGAATTCCCCTGACCCTTATAGCGAGGATATGGCTGCTACAAAATTACCCAATCTAGCTGATTATATGGACAATAGACCTGTGCCCGGTCTTTCAGAATACCCAAATTATAACAATGTACCTCATGGGCTGAGTGTACCAGGTAGTATGACACAACATTGCGCGCCACCATATGGAGGCATTATACCAAAGATGTGATATTACAATGGATAACCTCTTGGTTCGAGGGCAGAGACATTTCTGTGTCGCTTATTGATTTTATATACAAAATAATAATAATCTTCGGTGCGCTTCAGAAAAAACTTGAAAAAAATCGAACCCAGGACGCTAAAGGTAGAGCTAAACAATGAATTGAGTAGGTGGGTAAAGACAAACATTTGGGGATAGATCTGTTTTTCTACTTATAGTAGTAGATTCCATACATAACCAACTTCTATAATAAAATAAAACATACTTATTTGTAGTATAGTATAAAATATACATTATATTATATAGTTTTAAACCCTTGTAAATATTAAAATAAGGTTAAACATATATTCGATAGTTCCTATCATTAATCTTAAGAATCAATGTATAATATTATGATTATTTATGCACTACAAGTCATTATATTTTGTACTTCTCTAGTCAATTGTCATGGTAGCTACGAATAAAGAGGAGTTGTGAATTAAACGTGTTTCTATAATTTTAATCTTTATTAATTAAGTAAGTAGTTCATTTAAGCGAAAACAATTTTACTCCTGTTACAGGGCGAATAATTAATAATATTAAACACAGCAAAGCGTATAAATATCGATCACCTGGAGTTTTATTTTATTAAAATATATTTACCTACTTTTGCATAACATGCGGGCATCGAACCCGCGTCAGCTGGCCGCACTGTGTAACTACCGGATACTTTCTTTATTTAAATCGCTTTCAATATGTAAAAGAAAAAATTCCTACTACTTCTAGTAAAACGTTTAATCAAATTAAGAAACGGGGCAACTATCCTACAGGGGCAACTGTCCGGCTTTTCCCCCACAGTTAGAATACATTATAACCAAATTACAGTTTAACGCTTTAAAACGGGGAGACTCTCCCGGTGACCACGGCTGCTGCAAAGCATCCGAAACGTCGGGCCGAAGTTAAAAATCATTTTCAAATAAGTTTAACTAATATATCGCGTTTTAAACCGGTAAAGTGTTTTATTTAAATGTGTACTACTCGCCTAAACTATAGACATTGTTTAACGAAATTACTTACTTTAGGAACCAACTTCTAAATCCGCAAAAACAATAGTCCCAAAATAGATAGAAAGTTAATCTCTTAACAAAGCTTCGAACCCTTTCGCGCGGTATTCTTAGATCTTAAATACCCCTATAATACTCTGGGGATGCAAATGTTTTCAATAATTTTGACATGTTTTGACTACTTATAGGATTTGCCCGTCATCACTCCAGTGAATTTGCCTCGTAATCTTGTTAATGGTTCGCCACCTGAATTATTTAAACCGTTTTTTTGCTTGTTTTGTAATCGTTTAGTTAGACCGCTTGAAATGTTATTTTATTGTCACAACTGTAGCATAAAATCTCGATTCCCCTACGTTGAAAGGGGGGTAGACATATTTCTGTGTCCGTTTAAAAGATGGATTTAATTCGTATGTAAGTTATCTATTACTCTTGTGACCGTAAAGATGTATAGGTATTTAAACTATCAAGAAAGTCCTTTTTAGTTCTCTTCAAAATTTACATTATTGGGTTGTGTGAAAATTATAAGTATGCAATTTTATCATAATTAGAAAAGAGATACAAATATTCAAGTTCAAGGGAATCCTATATTTTTAATTAAATACTTAGTATATTTCTTTTATTTATTGCTAAAAGCAATAAATTATTAATATAATATAAATGTATTTTCAGTACGTAGGTCTTTAAAAAGTAGGTTCTCAATTCGATTGCTATCTAATTGAGAACTACCTATTTTTTATATTTGTTCGCACATAACTTCGGCGTTAATGACCTGATTTTGATTATTCTAATTTCTTGGATTAAGTATATATGCACAAAATCAAAATATGTACCTACATATTGTGTGAAGTACTGTTTGAAGTGGTTTTTTTTGTTTTTTTTTTATAACAAAAAATAAAAAAAAATACTTAGGTACTTACTTTTATATAGCAATTGGATTATTTTATACTCAAGGTTGCTAAAGCTACTTTCAACATTGATACTAAATCCAAACCGTTAAAACTCGCAAGAAACTTGAATGAACCTTGCTATACTGCTCACAACAGACGGATAGAAAAAGAGCGGTATATTATAAAGGCCTGAGTTAGTGCGAGACAGCAACACCATCCCTAAAGTGAAGGGTGGGTTTGCGCATGTGCTGGCGACATTTTACAAAGATGGCTGCTAGTGTTGAGATTGTGTTTTGTTTATTTATTTCGTAAAATAGTTTTGATTTTTATATTGGTCTTTTAAGCTTAGTACTTAAGTTAAATATAGAGAGGTAAGTTTTATCTTATTATTATAGCACCGTAACGCAACGTAACGTTTAGATTTTTGATACTCGCTAGCACATCTAGGTTACTAAATGTGGATTGCAGCCTCTAGATTATATGTAGGTAATAATTTTAAAATGTCAGTGTGTTAACCACATTTTAAACTGACTAGGTATGTTGTACTCAGATCTTTTGTTAAAAATTTCATGAAAAAATTACGTAAGTGACATACGATGTAGTTGTGGTATCAACGTGACCACCAGGTGCTTAGACTATCAAAAACATCGGGTCGTGGTAAGAAATACCTATTTCTTACCACTTTCGACCCTAAAATACGATATATACCTATATATCGTATTTTAAACCGTTCAAAGTGTTTGATATAATTAATCTACTTATGTATTTAACTTGACAAATAATTTTGTAATATCAAGAAGATTAGTATTTTATTTTTACGGACTCAGTATTATGTCTATCGTGGTGTAAATTTTAAAATACACTCGCTACCTTTCAAATCTTGTAAATCAAGTATTGAAGACTTCCGAACGCATGATTCACCCACATAGGTATTTATAAACGTTTCTTGTGGTGATTAAAATCGAATCAATCGTGCATGATTCAAACATTTAGTTACAGTTTGAATAGCACTAATTATCTCACAGGCAAAACGTGCCTTCTACTAACTATTTTTTTCAAACGAAATATTTTAATCACAGTTTAATGTGGTAGTGAATAAAGAAGCAACTTCGATAGATTTATTTTTTAAGTAATACCTATACCATAGTTAAACACAGTCAGAGGTATATTAGTAATAGGATCTCCTTTTACCCTTTGAATACGGAACTCAAATAAGTAACGAGTTTTCAGTGAGTTGTTGAGAAATAGTTGGTACTTAATACATTACTTAAATAAAAAAGACGCAAACAAGGGATAGTATATATTATAATTCTATTTAGATTGAACACGAAACATTTTTAAAAATCTACATAGACTTTTTTATACAACGCCATCAAGTGTCATCAAAGAGTTATTTAAAAATATGCTAAAAATAGCTTCCAACTATTTTGAAATAAGAGGATTAGTAGATATCAAAGTTCATGTGTGTGTGTGAAAGTTAATTCTTGCACCCCTTATAAAGGACATTAAAATCAAAATTACTTATACATAGTTGAATTAAACCTTTTTAATATATAAAGTAGACTTCCTAGTCCTGTCCTGTCACTTAAGCTAAACAGAAAAAAAATGTCGCGCTCAATGGTGTGATGTTATCAACGTGTGGTAAATCATCAACGGGTCGTGGTTTGAATTTTTTCGGTACAACATTTTTCTAATCATTTCACAATGACAATCCGCGGATTTCCGAATGTCAAATGCCAAAATTGGTCTCTTGTTCGGTTGCTGGGGTATTCACCTACTCTACATCAAATGAAATAAAATAAAATATACTTTATTCTCTGTAAATTATAAAAAATATTTAGATTCGTAAAAAAAAAAATTAAATAATACGTTTGTCTGTCCCTTCGTCGTGATTCTACAGTGTTCAAAAGAGCAATATAACGTCTAACGTAACGTCAGTCTGGCGTTTTTCAACATCTCTTACAAACTAATACATTTTTGTGAATTTAATGACCTAAGAAGCCGTTCATATCAATGCCAGACAGCCCTGTCATTAAAGAAGTATTTTAAAAAATAATACGCCTTTTGAGACAATCTAAATTCTATGACCTTTTTTGAATTTAGTTATTGATAAATTTGAAACCTCCACTGGCCAACATACGAATACAATTCCCCGCAAATTACTTAGTTACTTTATGGAGCCTATATAGGGGATAAAATGTTCGTCCGAATGTAAATAAAACCGATTTAAAAACAGGTACCTCATTACTATATGCAAGATGCAGCAGACGCCACTTTGATGTTTGTATTCGATCAAAGAGATGAGTTATCGACCGCCATAAATTAACCTCTCATTATGATAAGGTGAATCCGGTTGAGAATGTTTTAATTATATGAAATTATCTCTCGTTTTATTTGATGTATGAATTCATAAGTGTACGTTGATAAACGTTCAAAGAAATCTCACGTTTTATCTGAAGGTAATTCATTATGATAAACACGGCTTGCTTTATTTCGTATCATTACCTATTTGACTTTCTATTTGGGTGTATTTTTGTTGCATCTTTTCTATATATTCGAATAAAAAATTATTTCGGGACATTATTTCATGTTACAGCAGAAATTTCGTTCCTGCATATTCTCTGCCATTTTATAAAGTGAACTACTTTTAATATAATTTAAGCGAAATAATACTAATGCATTCATAGTTTTTAAGTTCAGTGTTGAATTGGGCTCCCACCTGTCATGACATTGTAATTTTAATGATTAAATAAATAATATTGACATAGACGAGAGAAAACCCCAAATACAACGTACCACGTAGCTGACGGCGAGTTTATTGCCAGTTCTTCTCGTTCGTTCTACGCCCTTGATTTGAGAACTGGTAGTAAATGTAAAGTTAGATTCTATAATTAT